AGCAACAACCTCAGAAGAATCAAAATCATAGAAGGAGAAAGAAAAAGAGTCTACAAACCCCACATCAGCGTTTCTAACCTGGAGATCGACCCATCAGAATGGTCATGGAAGTCCTCCCCTAGTTCTACCCTCATCTCAAATCTAAGTAGGCTAACGGACTACACACCGAAACTAGGTTACCGCCTCCTCACTTAACCCATATCAATATCCAACACAGTACGCAATAGGTGGACAAAGGAAAAACCACAGCTGGCCAACACCTACTTTAAACTCCCTGGGCCACAATCTTCTCCACAAGACCAGTCAAGCTTGCTAGCCTCAGATGGTTAATAGCCTTCATAGCAGTCCCAGTAAACCAATGGGTAGCCAACGGACGCAACCACGAAAACGGAACGGAACAGGACTCTTGGTGCAAGGTATGCAACCTCGCTTCCCCCGAATCCCTGCTGCCCAAAGGCCAGATCCCTCTGGCAAATCCTAGAAGCGGTATGGTATAAAATCTCGGACTCTCCACTCCTAATTAACCCCGCCACACTATTCCTCGACCTCAAATAAACACCTCCACTCAAAGGCTTCAAAGCCTTCCTCGCTTCACAAATCAAGAAAAGCACCCTGGGCTCTCCGGAAAAACAGATGTGACTGCACCTTCGACGATCGACTCACCCCCTCGCCACACCGAAATCCAAGCCCTCTGGAAAAAGCAACTCAAGAAGCTCCCCACTGACCCCGACAAAAAAACCGAAACAATTAAAAAGTTCGCAACCTCCAAGCTAGGCAATGGGATACTAGGCACAATCAACAACGACAGACTAATTAAAAAAAAATGGCTGAACTTAACTCAGACACAGAGCGCCCTGATTCCCCCCCTATCCCACGTCTAATCCAATATCGAGTCAGCAAAAGTCCTCCCCCCGACCCTCCCCAACAACCTCACTCCACCTACCTTACACGCAACCAACACCCTCCAAACTACCTCTATCTACCTCCAACACACCTCCATTACACCCCCCCCCCCTCAATCCCCTCGACAATATCCACCACACCAAGCTTATCCAAACCCCGGCAACCCAACCATCCCGTAAACCACAACACCGGCCCTTCTAAGAACACCCCCACCGCATATAATCAATCCCCACACCAAGCACTTCCTTACATCTCAGACATGCCCTTGAAATCACATCAGCCCACCTTACGGAAATTACCACCAATGCCAGTCTACAAACAAAGAAAAATTAAGCTAGACTTCAGGATTCTAGTACCAAAATCAGGATAAGATCTAAATCCCAGTTGAACAGGCTAACTTAGGCAGGGGTGAAGGATGGTACATCCTTCCTACGGGAATGAATCAATGCTGTCCTTCGGTCCTGCACACCTTAAGGTGGAGGAGCGTGAGCGAGTAATTATTGTAATCCGTTCAGACTTGCCGGTAGAATAGGAACCGGACTGACGCTCCCCAGAGTGGACAAGGAGCCGGTACCATAAGGTCCCGTTTTAAAAAAAAATAATATTTTTTAATAGTTTTTACTATTTAGCATGGTTTGGGCTATTGCCGCTACCGTCTTCTCCCAAACATAGCGCATATGCGTTGTAAACGAATGCAACACATAGGTTGCTTTCTAATCGAATACAGCGAATATGCATTCTATTCGAACAGCCCTCATTTTCAAATACAACGCATATGCGTTCTATTCGATTCCCCCCCCCCCCGAAAACTCGAATACAATGCATAATATGCATTATATATTCTTTGGGGGAAGACGCTTGTCCCTCTATATTTGCCTTTGTCCTCTGGTCCCTGTACATTATATCTGCACTTCTCTAATGCCTTCCTCCTTTTTTATTCTTTCTTTTTTTCCCCCCTTTGAGCGAGGCCCTTTCGCGGAACCAGAAGATCACTTCCAGACAGGTTCGTTAGCAAGAAGTGAATTATATCTTCGGGCGGTTTGTCTGTGCGCATTTTACGCAAAGCTATGAGCTATTGGGTTCTCTGTTTTTCCTTTTCTAATGCACATTACGCAAAGCTATGAGCTATTGGGTTCTCAGTTTTCCCTTTTCTAATGCACATTTTACGCAAAGCTATGAGCTATTGGGTTCTCAGTTTTTCCTTTTCTAATGCACATTTTAAGCAAAGCTATGAGCTATTGGGTTCTCTGTTTTTCCTTTTCCCTTTTGTAATGCACAGTTTACGCAAAGCTATGGGCTATCGGGTAGTTTGTAATGCTGTAATTCCAAATGCGCCCAAAGATATCTACAGGGGCACCACACGCATTACAGTGCTCTTTCGCAAAGTATGCTGTTCTTCAAACTTCTTTTGGAAATACATGAGCTGACGACGTTCAAGGAGGGTGAGGCTCTGCAAAATGAGAATGAACCTTCTGCTAGAACATTAAAAGAGCCATTGCCATATTTTTTGTCGTTTGTGCATGTGGTGAGAAGCGGAGCGAGGCCCAAAGTATCAAAAAATACTACAGTGTGCGCTCTTCTCCTCCCCACCCTCTCCTAACCCCCAACTCAGCTACACTTCTCCACATTAACATCCCTAATTCTCTGAAGGGCGGCGAGAAGAACTGGTTCTTGTTGTGTAGAAAAGTGACGTCGTTGACCATATGGAAGAGGAGATGGACGGAGCCTTGATTCCTCCTCCCCCCCCCTACCAAAAAAAAAAAGGGAAAAAAAAGGAAGAGGAGATGCTCTGTGACAATCAATGGCACCCCATCTACAAAAAGGAGGAGCCTGGGCCTTACCCATCGGCTTGGTGGAGACGGATATTTGCTGCAGATGGCCCTCACTCAAACAGGCATCGAAAGACAGACCAGCTTAAGTTTGCAGCCAGAAGACGGTGTGCCTCGGAGACTGGTTACTCGGGGGCAAGATCATAACTCTGGATCAAGGTATGCTGAGATGGAAAAGGTGGGAGTCCGTGGGACAAGTCAGGAGCTATATCCCATCCCTCGTCGGCAGGGAAAGAAGACCCTGTTGAGCTTGACTCTAGTTCGACTCTGTGAAATGACTTGAGAGGTGTAGAATACGTGGGAGCTTTATGGCGCAAGTAAACTACCGTCCATCGATGAGAGGGCAAGTGATAGGGAGCTGAGGAGAGGGCCGGCCTACCACAAGAACTCATAGTTTCCTAGTTTCCAGGCATCGCCTTCATCGGATGTTCCCAGACTCAGCTTAGCATGATCAAACGGCAACTAGTTACGGCAACAAGCTGAGACAACACATTAATTTTGAGACAGTCACCAACTCCGAAGTGAACACTTGGTGGCTCCCGGCAATCTGGGCAAGGCCTGGTGAACACGGCTCTTCGTTTTCAGTGTTTTCAATCTGATTTGACAATCCCCTCACTGACTGCGAAAGCAACATCATGAACTGCATACGCACTACGCACATAGTACGCAGTCAGCAGCAACACTCGATATGCAGACATGTAGCGAGATGCAGGCTGTAATTCGTCATGATCACTGACTGGGATTGAGAGGAACTACATGCTACAGGCTATCTGAGAGTTAATCTTCCGCTTAGAAGCAATCAGTGGTGGTCGAAGGGGTCATTTGGTCTGGACAAAGGAAGCGTAGACTGAGTCTTTTGTTGTATTAATAAATTTTCCTTGCTGGTGGATTGGAAACAGAGTGTTGCTTATGTACCCTCTATATCTATATCTATACTCTTACTGAAGTGTAAGCCGGGTCTGGCGTAACAGCCCCGCCAGGCCAGGCTTCCAGTCTTGGGACAAGGCTCGGGACAGTGGGCGCTGGCCCAGCAGAATCTGCTACATGCGCACGTTTTTTTCCATGTGCGTTGTTGTGAAACGGGTTTTGGAGAGTTTTCTACCGGCCTCCAACACAGCCGTTGGTCCGACGTGAGTTGTTCATACCTGGGGGCCTGGGGCTCACAAAAGGTCCGTTCGATCCCGCTAGCGTGCTTTGCATTCAGTGCATTCGCTCTGCCACGTTGTGGGGGAATGAGCAAAAAGTCCGCGCCGGTTTTTTTCGATGCCGGGCGGCTCGAAACTGGAAGCGTTACGGTGGAACATCGCGGGGTGGGGTCACGTGCGGGTGTCGGGAACGATCACCATGAGCTCTCTCTCTCTCTCTCTCACACACACACACACACACACACACACACACACACACACACACACACACACACACATGTGAGGGGCGGTGCGGATGTGAGGGGGGCGAGTTTTTTGCGTGCTTCTATTCGGGCGCTATTTGGAGAGTGGGAGGAGGAGGTCGCGTGAGGGGGAGGAGGAGGTTGTGCAAGTGGTAGGAGGAGGTCGAAAGAGGGGAAGGAAGAGGTTGCGAGGGGGAGGAGGACATTGTGCAAGTGGAGGAGGAGGTGGGAAGAGAGTCTGGAGGAGGTCGCGCGAGGGAGAGGAGGAGGTTGAACCGGGACGTCAGAGGTGGAGGAGGCCGTGCAAGGAGGAGGATGTGCGAGGAAGAAGGGGGATGAGGAGGTGGGAAGAGGATGCGTGAGGGGGAGGAGGCAGCTGTGCAACGGGGAGGAGGAGGTCGAGCAAGGGGGAGGAGGAGGTCGCATGAGGGCGAGGAGGTTGCGTGAGGGAAAGGAGGCCGTGCGAGGGGGAGGAGGGGGTCATGCGAGGGGTAGGAGACGGTGATGGAGGAGGAGGGACGACGAGCAGGAGAGTGGCTGCAATGGGACCGCACAGACACAGCACGCACACACGCGGTGATGGAGGAAAGAGGAGGGGTTGCTTTGCGGAAATTTTGACTGTCTTTTTTTTTTTTTCCCCTTCTTATTCTTTGGACTATGTGTGATTACGACTGCTTTTTTTTTTGCCCCCCGCAACTTCGCTGCAGCGTAGCTGCGGCAGGTCCACTTGTTAGAATAATGGACAAGAAGCAAGGACCAAAACGACCTGCTCAATGCTCACACCTCAAAAAAAAGGGAAAAAAAGAAAAGATGTAACCATTGAGTAATGCTGCTAATGCATGAACAAATTTGAAAATGAAGCCTGTGGAGCAGTAGCGTACCGAATTTGGTATGAAATGGTGGTTGATCAAGGGCTTGGGATGTGCCCTTATCTGTCTGACGAACAGTAAGGGCGCAGGTCCAATATCCCCTATGTACCCTGTGCACATTCCAGCAGCATGCATATATCTACTCTCGCTCTCCCCCTCACACACTCCATCTCTCTCTCTCTCTCTCCCTCACACACTCCMTCTCTCTCTCTCTCTCTCTCTCTCTCTCTCTCTCTCTCTCTCTCTCTCTCTCTCTCTCACGCGTGCATGCATGGTCCCCTCCCCTTCCCTCTCTCTCTCTCACAAACACACCACGCACACAAGCAGATGTCAAGAAAAGAAGACGGTCACAGGGGAAACAAGCAAAGTGCAAACATGTGAACAAGCACACACATATGCAAATTGTAAGCAGGGTCTGATTTGAAGTGATTCGTCTGCACAAAATAAAATCTTAACAACGAATCCCTTGCAGGGGAAAAAAACATAAAAATGCGGAAATTTCAAATTTTATTCACAGTGTTTCACACCATAGCAGCATGGCAAATGCTCCAGGCCATGCACAGACATTCAGTGGACGCTCGGGCTGCACAAATTTTCGCAAAATTCCAGATACAGACTCAAGCAGGAGGTGAGGAGTGGGTGGTAATTTTGGATTGCTGTACCGCATGCAACATAAACTTTGTTACCCTCCCTGTGGGGGCTTGCATCCTCTTTGAACTCAGTTGGGGAGTGGGAAACTAGGAGCCCTGCTCCCAAACCGAGGTCGATGGTGTTGCATCATCTTCGGGCCCTGCTGTTTTATCGGTTTTCGGGGTGTGCAGAATTGCACTGAGTGTCCGTAGCGACCACATTTCGCACACTACCCCAGCTTTCATTCTTCTCACTCACAGTCCTTCCTCTTTGTTGCTTGCCCTCTCCCCCTGCGGTAACCATTCTCCTTGAGCGTCCAAGGGACCACAATTCTTTGCATGCTCACTTTGCTGCCTGTTCTTCCCTTGCTGCTGCAGCTGTTTTCCCTTTACTGCCTACTTCATACCTCGCTTCGCTTTCTCTCCTGCAGTGCGGCAAGGACAGTCTTTTTTTTGTCCCGCTGCACTTCAGACGCACATTTTTCTTCTCTCTCTCTGGGGCCTGTCTTCTTCTCATCATCTGAACTTCCCGGATGCTGCCGTCACTCAAGGATACCACCCCGTTCGTGATAGCAGCATAGATCTTGTTGTGCCCTTTGAATGTTGTCCTCCCGCGTACTGGAGTGAAACCTTTGCTGTACTTACTCTGCCTCCTGGTTGACGAGTTGCTTCCACACACGGCAGGGCAGATCCTGATTCTAGTGCTGTCTCTGCCATCCTGCGATAGGTCATCAACTCCTTGCCTTGGGAATCTAGGTGGCTCACAATCCTTTTGAGGAGAACCCGCATAAAGGTGAACATAACCAGGCCTTCTCATATCTCCAGCTCCAGAGTCTGTTTTATCTTCTCAGACTCCTGGACAAGATCTTGAACACTGTCATGGAAAGTCTACACAGACAGCTCAGAGAAACGACCCCATGCCCGATCCTCCTCACAGGGGGTATCCATCATGTCTCTCTCCCGCAGTTTCTGAGAAAACTGTGGTCAACTAGTGTGCTTGGCATATTCTGCTGCATCTTCCCCTGCCTGCAACACTTCACTGTCAGCCCACTCCTTCGCGGCATTCACAAACAGAGAGAATGTGAAATTAATCTTGTCGGCATCTCTCGCTATCCTGTGATAATCAATCTTCTTCTTCTTCTTCTTCTTCTTCTTCTTCTTCTTCTTCTTCTTCTTCTTCTTCTTCCTCCTCCTCCTCCTCCTTTTCTTCTCTTCCCATGTCATCATGTCATCATCATCTCTCTTCCTCACCCATGTGATTGGTGCTTATGTCTGACTGGATGCTGTTTAAGAGTATCTGTTTGTCATTCGACAACATTGACAAAGCAGATCCAGGAGTTAGCATCCTCATTTCTCTTGACCATGAACTTGATCAGCATGTCTCAATTTCCGTTTGAAGGAGGACGTCTTTTCTTCATCCACTGGATTCCACCCCAATAATATGGGTTGCTGAATGTTTCAGCAAAGAAGACAGTGTCTCCTACGAGCGGCTCGGTCTAACAGCCAAAGCAGAGGTAGGGGGGGGGGATGTAGGTCACCACTGATGGCTGCCATATTGCCCTGCAACAATGCAGTGAAAGCATCAGTGTGGCATGCCTTGGTCTCCCACACATGCCCTAGGGGCCCAACTTCGACTTCAAGGCCCCGAGGCTGCACCTCCCACATTTTGGGTCGTATTAGGGCCATGGACACAATTTTTGGCTGTGGTCAGCTGCATTCGGGCAGCCTTGCACTTTTCACTGCATTAAACGCATTAATTTCTGAGATTTTGGCTGTTCTGATTTTTGTACGAGCTAGGGAAGTTGTGAGGCTTCAGGCCTTGGCAGGCCTCCACCTTGAGCCGTCCGGAAAAATTAGGCTCAGCGGCCTCAGCCCTAGCTGAAGACCAGAATGAGAATCTGCCGCCCTGAGTGAAGGCTGGCGTGACACAGTTGAGAAGGAAGGTTGGGTTGCAGCCTCTGCAACTAACCGGTAGGCCTGCCTCTCAGTTGGTTGCAGAGACTGGGGCCCTGGAACTCGGTCGGGAAGGTTCTCAGTATGGGAAGAGCCCAGTCCAGGCAGCAGCGGGCTCTAGAGAGTGACGAAAGGGAGGAGGCCACAGCATTCCACACATTTGGAGGCACTGGCTGCCAACACTAGCTGTGTGGAGAGCGCACACCACCAGGCTAGGGCTAATCCAAGAAGAAGCGTAAGGTGCAGCCACGGTCACCTGCTCTGCCAGCGGCAGCCATAGCTGCACTGAGAGGAAGTGAGGTGGTGCTGGGGCTGGGGTGATCAGGGGAGAAGGACACCACACCTGTGGGAACAGGCAGACTTACCTGGCGATGGCCAAGGAGCACACTCGTGGTGGTCAGACTCTGCAGCATTGCTTACACGAGAAGAGAGTGGGCAGAAAAACGGGAGAGAGTGTGAGGAAGAGAAGTAGGCTGTGCAGAGAGAGAGAGAGAGAGAGAGAGAGAGAGAGAGAGAGAGAGAGAGAGAGAGAGAGAGAGAGAGAGAGAGAGAGAGAGAGNGAGAGAGAGAGAGAGAGAGAGAGAGAGAGAGAGAGAGAGAGAGAGAGAGAGAGTAGGAGAGTAGTATAGGCGGTCATATCATAGTGGAGCGACAACATTGCGGTTGTATTGATGAGGGGAGGCGAGAAGTTGGGTTTTCTATATCAAGACACTTCAGTGTCAGTGTGTCCTCACTTGGTGGGCTCTCGGCTTTGTAATTCTGCTTTCAACTTTGCTCATATATGCCTGTTTTGCTTCGAGCCCTTTTTCAGCTCGGAAAATTTGTGCTCCCATAATCCCATCGATTGGTTCCTTGCATTTTGATATCAGAGTCAGCCTGCGGTTCCCTGAGCAGCGCAACCTAGAGTTGGCGAGTCAGGTCTTATGATGCCGGTGGTATTCAAAGGTGCGACAGGTAGCATTGTAGACTTTCACACCAGTGGTGAGTAATCTCCTGCATTGGGCAGAGAGCGCAGGGGGGGGAGTAGTAAGGATTATGTGGCATTGCGATGAAAGTATACTAGTAAAGTATTGGTGCTTGCCGTTGCTAGAGACAGTTCTGGCATGGTAATGTCGGCGGTTCCTGAGTACGACCGATCATCAAACTCAGCATGAAAAGTTGGTGAGATAATATGTTGTTGGGGGCAGTATCATCAAGTGAATGCCCCTAACCTTATCCACCCTTTATTATCTTGGTTACTGTGAGGAAGAGCATTCTACTTGAGTGCTGTCGCATACACATCCAAACATGACAAGTATAGCGCAGATCCAAGGAGTCGACTCAAAGCAAGAGACTATATAAATGCGGGGAAGACAGAACATGCATCTGACACAACAATGCACGCTCATACATACATCACACGGTGAGAAGGGGGCAGCGCAGCATACAAGGAAGGGGCGCTGTGCCCTGATCATCCTCAGACGCAGTAGGATGGAGATGGAGACGAAGGGGGGAGAGAGGGGAGAGAGACCAAGCCGCCAATGCCGCCAATCTCGAATGTCCCTGAAGTCCCAGTCTCAATACAACGTCCAAAAACATGTCTTTGCCGGAAATACCAGAGCAGGGCAAAGGCCGGAGTGTCCCCAAGTTCAGATCTCAGATACCTCTCTCTCTCTCTCTCTCTCTCTCTCTCTCTCTCTCTCTCTTATCCAGACGGAAGTAGAAGACTGAGCGATGGAGGATGGAGGAGGTCCGGAGGAGAGAAGAAGACGAAGAAGAAGAAGAAGAAGAAGAAGAAGAAGAAGAAGAAGGAGAATCCTGTCTCCCTCTCCTCTCTGCTGGTACCAGATACTGACCGTGTAAAGGTACTGCCTTGACGTCGGTACTGGAGTGCTGAAGACGAAGCTGGAGCTATGGCACCCCCAGGTGAGTCATCAGGTAAGTCCCAGTCTCTGGCCTCCACCTCTCTCCTGCTGTAGTCTCCACTACAGCCTCCACGCTTGCCGCCTCTAACCTACCGCTACTGCGCCCAGCGCTGAAGACTAACGCAGCATAACGCTGAATACTAACTAACTCACACTAACCTATCGAGTGAGAGGCATACCAGTCTATAAAATACTACTGGTCTGGCCTCTCCTAGGTCCTACTGGCCTAGACGTGGGGCCCAGAATGAATGGCCTGGGAAACAATCTGGCCGTACACTTGGGTCGAATCTGATGGTTCAAGTGTGGCCTGGAAAAAAAAAGGAGGCCAGGGCCTGAACTGTTACCGGTACCAGGGCCTAGCCAGGCTGAACCTGGCGGGGGCCTAAAACGGCCCTTTTCTGTCCTGAACCGAAACAGGCCCTACTTCAGGCCACGAAACTAATGTCCCAGCCCGAAGCTAAGTCCCTACCCCTTCCTACCTACCTGACGGGTCCTACTGGGCCCGTGTGGGATGTACATATGCCACAAGTGCCCTCTCATTGTGAGATTGTGAGCGCATGCTACCTTGAGCGTCGGCCTTCTTCTGGCATATCTGGTGGGAGAGGGGGGTGCATGGGAGGTGCC